TCAATCCCCATTAAAATCCCACCACAATTCTTCACTGACCTTGAAAGGATAATAATCAACTTTATATGGAAAAACAAAAGTCCCAGGATAGCCAAAACAACCCTGTACAATAAAGGAACTTCAGGAGGCATTACCATCCCTGACTTTAAGCTCTACTACAGAGCTATAGTCCTGAAAACAGCCTGGTATTGACACAAAAATAGACAAGTAGACCAATGGAATCGAATCAAAAATCTTGATATTAACCCACACATCTATGAACACCTGATTTTCGACAAAACAGCTAAAATTATACAATGAGAGGAGGAAAGCATCTTCAACAAATGGTGCTGACACAACTGGATGATGGTGTGTAGAAGACTGCAGATATCACCATGCACAAAAGTCAAGTCCAAATGGATCAAAGACCTCAACATAAATCCAGCCACACACCTCTTAGAAGAGAAAGAAAACAAATTGGTACAGGAGACTACTTCCTGAACATAACCCCAGTAGCACAGACACTGAGATTGACAATTATTAAATGGGACCTCTTCAAACTTAGAAGCTTCTGTAAGGCAGAGGACACAGTTGACAAGACCAAACGGCAGCCCACAGACTGGGAAAAGATATTCACCAATCCTACATCTGTCAGAGGGCTGATCTCCAAAATATACAAAGAACTCAAGAAACTAGTCAACAAAACACCAAATAACCCTATTAAAAATGGGGTACAGAACTGAATAGAGAACTCTCAATAGAGGAAATTAAAAAGGCTGAAAGACACTTAAGAAAGTGCTCAACATCCTTAGCTATCAGGGAAATGCAAATCAAAACAACTTTGAGATACCATCTTACTCCTGCCAGAATGGCTAAAATTAGAAACACCAATGACAACTTATGCTGGAGAAGATGTGGAGAAAGGGGAACACTCCTCCACTGCTGGTGGGAGTGTAAACTCGTACAGCCATTTTGGAGATCAGTATGGCAGTTCCTCAAGAAAATGGGAGTCAGTCTACCACAGGACCGGCAATCCCTCTCTTAGGCATATACCCAAATGACCCTCATCGATGCAACAAAGACATGTGCTCAACTATGTTCATAGCAGCATTATTTGTAATAGCAAGAACCTGGAAGAAACCTAGATGCCCCTCAACTAAAGAATGGTAAAGAAGATGTGGCACATTTACACAACGCAGAAAAAGCAATGGAATCTTGAAATTCGCAGGCAAGTGGATGGAACTTGAAGAAACCATCCTGAATGGGGTAACCCAGTCACAAAAAGAGGAACATGGTATATACTCACTCATATATGCATTTTAGACATAGAGCAAAGGACCACCAGGCTATAATTCACACCACCAGAGAAACTAGGACACAAGGAGGATTCTAAGAGATCCATATAATGTCCCTCACAGAAGGGGAAAGCAACAAGATCTGAGCATATGGGGGTGTGGGGGGGGGCAGTGAGTGGAGAGAGAACTAGGAGAAAGAGAAGGGGAGGAGAGGAAAGCATGTGGGACTAGGACAATTGAGTCAGGGGAGGAATAGAGAGAGAGAGAGAGAGAGAGAGAGAGAGAGAGAGAGAGAGAGAGAGAGAGAGAGAGAGAGAACATAAAAGAGGGAGCCATTATAAGTTTGAAGAGAAAACTGAACCTAGAGAAATATCCAGAGACCTACAAGAGTGACCCCAACTAACAATTTGAGCAACAATGGAAAGGCTACCATAAATGCCCTTCCCTGATAATGAGAATGACAACTAACTTATCCACCATCATGGAGCCCTCATCTAGTAGCTGATGGAAACAGAAGCAAACACCCACAACTAAACACTGAGCCGAACTGGAATCCAGATGCAGAGAGGGAGGACAAGAACAGGCTACAGAAACACATAGAGACAGCTGACCTGAACAAGGAGGAGCTAAGGGCCCCCAGACTGATAGCTGGGAATCCAGGATTGGACTGACTCAGACCCCCTGAACAAGGGTCTCAGCTAGAAGGACTGAGCAGTCTTAAGGGACCTCGAACAGTGGAACCAAGATATATTCCTGGTACACAAAAGGACTTTGGGGACACATCCCCCATGGAGGGATACTCCCTTAACCTAGAGACAGGAGAGAAGGCCTAGTCCCTACTCCAAATGAGTTGACAGATTTAGATGACCCCTCCTGGAGGGCATCACCCTACAAGTGGAGTGGGGGGTTGGGTGGGAGGGGAGGGTGGGAGGGGTGCATGAGAGGGTGGGAGAGAGGGAAAGAGAGAAGAAGGTAGAGAGGGAACTGGGATTGATATGTAAAATAAAAATAATTTAAAAAAAAAGAAACTAAAAAATAAATAAATCCTTTCCTCCCCAAGCTGCTTTTGGCCATGGTGTTTATCACAGCAGCAGAAAGCAAACTAGGACAAGGACTGAGATGGGTCCCTAACTTGGATATGTTGAGCTATGTGCCAAAGTCCTGCAATGCCCCACACAGACAGACTGCTGAATTCATGGAGAAAAGTGACAGAGAAGAGTACGCAAACACACACACACACACACACACACACACACACACACACACACACACACACACACAGGAGCTGGTCATTGAGTCCTGGCTTGGGTGTCCAGGCTTCCAAGAGTAATGTGTTGGCAGTAGCCTCAGATTCAGCATCCTGTGGTTTCCACACTATGTACCTTATGTGCCAATCTGTGAGGCAGAGGTCCGAATTTTGCATTTGGCCAAAGGAAGGAGGCATGAGATCCCCAAGGCCTGAGTTCAGGTCAACAGACTAAATATGACTCTCCTTCACAAGAAAAAGAAAAATCACATCAGGAACACGGTTCTAGAAAAAGGTCAGCAGCAGGTTCAGGGCCAGTGAAAGCAGAAACAAAGCCATTCACCAGCCCAGCACAGGGTCTGGCTTTAAGACGGGAAGAAGTAACAAGAAGCCAGGAAGCTTAAGAGCTGAGACCCTCATGAGGCAGGAGCTGGGGCAAAAGGAAGAAAACAGGGTGATGGCAAGCTAGCTGTCAGTAAAATCTTGCCTTGCAAACACAAAGATCTGAGTTCAATTCCCGAGTCCAAGTGAAAATGCCAGCACAATGATGCCCTCATAATTCTGGTGCTGGAGAGGTGGGGACAGGTGAGAATCCATGGGGTTCATGGCCAGCCCAACCTAACCAATCAACAACTCAAGGCCAAGGAGACTGTCTCAGCAAAGGTAGAAAGTGCCTGGGGAACATCATCTAAGGTTGTGCTCTGACTCACACACACACACACACACACACACACACACACACACACACACACGGGGGGGGGGAGAAGGAGATAGGAGACAGGGAAGGGGGAGGTGGGGGAGGCGGAGGAAAGGCATTTGGAAAGAGGGAAAAGGAGATGGGGAAAGAGAGAGGAGAACACAACTCTGTTTAGGTCAGCTCTCTATCGAACACAGCCATTCCACCTGCAACATCCCCCAAGAGAATCAATTAAATGCCCAAGGACAATTCCATGTGGTGACAAGGAACTATGATTCCTTGGGAGTTTTCATGCTCAAAACCACTTCTCTTACTGCACTCATCTCAACTGTAGTCTCCAGAATAAACAAAACCCTCTCTCCTAGACTCAGGGACAGACAAAGACAGCTATGGATGAGGCCGGATGAACAGCCACAGGGCTTAAAGAGAAAACAAAGACATAAAAACAAAAGGGCTGCAGCAAAGCACTAGTGTCGCCAGGGCAGACACAGCCTCAAGCTGAAGCTAAGTGCTGAGCGAAGCTAAGTGCTGAGCGCCACGACTCTTACTTTCAGCCTCAAGAACATCTTTAAGGGAACATGGTCCACAGATGAAAATTAAGGGCCGGGATGTAGTCTAATGGAACAGTGCTTGCTTAGTATGTCCAAAGCCCTGGGTTCCATCCAAACAAACAAACAAACAAAGGTCTTGGTTGTGAGAAAAATAAGTTGCCAGTGTCTAGTTTAGCCATAATGGGGAGTTGGGGAAGGGGGAATGCATTCAAGACAATGGGGAATGGGTACAGGTAAAATTCCTTCCAGAGAGCTAGTCCTTGCATACAAGGAGTGGGAAATCTCTCTGAATGAAAGCAAACAAACCTCAGTGATGAGAATGTCAGAACAAAAGGACACCAGAGGACTCAATCAGCCCTATTACCTACCATACACTGAAAAATGTAAACCTAGCTGAGGCTTCCGAGTCACTTTAGGCGTCAAGCAAGAGGCCAAAGCTAAAACATACTATGTGATTCCCCCAGTGTCAGTTCTTTCCAGGACATTATGTTGCTATCCTGTTTCAACAAGCTCTCCCCCACCCCCAATCCATCCACATAAGCAAGCAGTCATTACTAAAATCTGCCAAATTACGGAAAACAAAACAAAGCAAATGGGCTTTTCCACTCCCTGGCTCCTCTAGCCTATTTCAGCTCCTACTTCGTATTTCCGTGTGACTTACACAAAACTGCAGGATGGTTAGAAACGAAGCCTACAGAGTGATGAGTGTGCAAAAAAGAAAATCATCAGTGAACACAACCACACCCAGAGCCCAAGCCTGGCGCGGAGAACCCAGGCAGGGCAGAGCCAAACAAGGACGCGATCCAGGGAGGAAGGGACAAGTGGCTCTTCGCGGGGCGAGTTTCCCCGCAGAAGGCGACGTGGCAGAAAGCAAATAGCTGCCGAAGCTGACACCCTGCCGCGGGGATATCTCGGAAGCCCCCACATAGCCCTGAACCTCAGTTTCCCCTCTTATCCGAGCAGGGGAGTTGCAGTCTAGTACCCTGTGACCGAATGCAAGGACATGGCTCATCCAGCCGCATTGGGAAACGTGGGGTTGACCGGAGCTGGGTATCGGCGAGACCTTCTCCATCTGGGAACCTGGATCGCACACCTGTCAAAGGGACTCGGGAGACCCCACCCCACGGGTGACCTGTCCCTGAGCAGTAGAATTTGCTTAGTGGGAGGACGCGGCGCCGGGCGCTACGGCCGGAGGTGACTCGGGACTGCAGCGCAGGGCGTGCACTACTCACCGCTCGGCCCTGTCCGGCCCGGGCTCTGGTTCCAGCTCAACCCACCACGCACAGCCTCAACGCCGACCCCTAGCCATCATTTTTTAGTTGCCTGGACAGCCGCTTCCGGGCCATGTCACGTGACGCCGGCTCCCCAGCCCAAGTCATGTGCTGCCGCTCTCCACGCTCCTCCTTCCAGACCCTTGTTCTGCAGCGCCACCTGGTAGCAGCCAGCAGCCACTGCAGAAAGGGCTGTTGCTTCTGGGACCACCACAGCTAAGGTGACCTGGAGAGTGGGGGTGACAGCCCTGACTGTCCCCATTTTTATAACGTATATCAATGAGCATGTACTCATTTATAATCACAAATATGCATCTTTTGGGGGAAAATCATGCAGCCAGGCCTGGTGGTAAAAGATTGCAATCCGAGAGCTGGGAAGAATGAAAGTTCAAGACTTGTGTGGTTACAGAGTTAGTTCAAGGTCAGCTTGGCTAACCTAAAGGCACCTTGCTTCAATTTAAATTTTTTAAAGGGGTGTGTGTTGGAGAAATTGTCCACTGGGTATAATGAGGACCTGAGTTAAGATTCCAAGCACCCATGTAAGAGAAAGCCAGGCATGGCAATGTGTGCCATAACACCAGGGCTTGGGGCCAGAGGCAGAAAGATCACCAGATCTCTTCAGCAACTAACTGATCTAGCCAAAACAGTGGGCTCCAGATTCAGTGAGGGACCCTGACCCTGTCCAAAAAAAAAGTTAGATGGAGAGAACAACTCCAGGAGACAATGTCACCATCTGACTTCCCTCTGCCCCACCCCGACCAAACACACATGCATATATTCCATATACCACACATACACACACTCCATATACCATACACACACATGCATATACTCCATACACCACACACAGACACATGCATATACTCTGTACATATACACACACACTCAGTAATTAATAAATGTAAAAGGCCATTTTTAAGAAAGGAAAAGAAAAAGCAATACAACTTCCATAGTTCCTCTCTACACTTGCTAGTCCAGGATCCCCACCAGGAGTGGTATCAGGAAAGGCATGGAGAGATTTGGATTCCCCTCCTGCGGAGAGCCCCACATCAGTGGACTGGCTTGATGTGCTCTGTGTTAGTCCAGCACCTCCTGCAGTGTGAAGGAGGGTTGGCCTGTCCCTATCACTTCCCACTGAGTGGCTTCTGAACTCCCTTTGGGTTCCCCATACAGAAAGCTCAGTTGAAAGCACTGCTCAGTTCTTTCCCTTCCCTGGTTGTTTGCAAGTCATATAAGATCTGTCACATAAAGGTGTCATGCTACAGAGAGATTTTGGATAGCTCCTTCTGCACCTAACAGTAGGGGCTCACTTCTGTTCTCCCCTAAACCCTACCCATGCCCCACCCTCAAGGGTGATGGGTCCTGAAATGCCATATGAACTCTGCTCAGATCTACTCTCCTTGGCAGGTACATTGTTCTCTGTTCCATCTTGGGTACACTCAGCACCCATCCTCTCTGCTCAAGGTCTTATATCTTACAATGTGCCCAGGCCCATACAAAGTTTCCTTGTACATTAACTGATTCAGTCACCATTGGACCTTCAAAACACATGTCAGAACACTGGCAGTGGCCAGTCCAGCATCCACCTTCCCAGAGCAAGCTTCCAGGCTCTGGCTACAGTGAACACTATGCTGCTATTGCTGGACAGTAACCACTGTGGCTGGGACACAGACATCCAGGCCCCCTTTAGTCAGGATCCCAAGAACAATGTCACTGTTCACACTCACGGACCTTTGCTATAGCAGAAGCATTCAGCATTGTTAGAATTTCAAATGTTTTGGAAGCAAAGCATCATGATTCAAGAATTCATTAAACGATGTGAATGAAGTAGACACACTTTCGGAAGGACTATGCTACAAAGAAAACGAGCAACAATAGTGAGGAAATTAAAGTGGCCTTGGAAGCAAGAATGAGGCTTGAAATGGCTGGTGCCAGATCAGCAGGACCTGGACGTCTCTGCCGACCCTCACTTTTTTTTCTTTTTTTCTTTTTCTTTTTTAGAGAAAGGGGGTCTCTCACTGGGCCTGGAACTCACCAAGTAAACTAGACTTGGTGTCCCATGAGCCCCAGAGATCTGCCCATCTTCACCTTTCAACCAGTTACAAGCCAGTGCCACTGCTTTTTTATATAGGTGCCGGGGATCAAACTTGAATCTTCGTGCTTGCACAATAAGCATTTTTCTCAACTGAGCTCTCTCCCTAACCTGCTTTGACTCTTTTCCTATAGTTTTTGAGACCATGAAAGAGACAATGCACTGTAAAAAACAAAATACTACTGATAATATTTTTGAAACAAAGTATTTGAAGATACATTATGGCAAAGTATTAAAGATACAGTCAAGGCTGGGGTTGCAGCTCAGGGACAGAGAACCTGGTGTGTGTGTGTGTGTGTGTGTGTGTGTGTGTGTGTGTGTGTGTGTGTGTGTGTGATCATGTCATGTGATGCAATAAGTGAGTGCCACCAGAAGCACCTGGGTTCCATTCCCAGTTTAAAAAACAAAACAAACAAAAAAAATTACAGACACGGCAATTGAGGTCCCAGGAAAAATGCAAACTACTCAAGATTCCATTCATTCTGGGAGTAAATCGGACTGGACCATCCTGCCAGTTCCCCAACACTCTCACATTTTGTGTGATGGAGAAGTGGGGAATCCTATAGGAACACAGGTCTGGGGGAAGGGAGCATGAAGCCAAAATGCTCCCTAAAAGAGAGTACACCAGCCTACAACATGCACTGGCCTGCAGGCAAGATCAAGTGTCAGGAGAGTCAGAGCACATGGACCCAGGGGAGGCACAATCCTGCCCTTGCTACCAAACCAAAGTTAGCACAACTATACAGGTCCTAAGGTACCTGGAGCTCCTGAGGCAATTACAGCTAACTAACATCATCCTTGTTCTTTCAAACTGTCATCACTTTCTGCCTGCTGGGAAAGCACCAGGCAAGAGGAGCATTCTAATGTGGTACTCAATTGGAGGCAGGAGAATCAAAGAGGCTGTGTGACCATCAGGATTATAATGGAATTATCCTGGGTAATAAGGGATATGTGGGGTGAAACACACTACCTAAACTGTGGGTTGTGGCCCCATATGGATTCATGTAACTAACCGTGGGAGTTGTGAAAACTTAATACTTGTCAAAGGTTTCTAAATGTGCAGTAACAAAAAAAAATTACTTCAAAATCAAATGCATGCTGAATCTGGGCATTTCTATGAGTGCTCACCATGGTTGTATCAAATGGAGTGGCTGTGAGCACATAACACACATACTGTGGATATGGTCATGCCACACAACACCATTGGACATGGCCTGAAACACCTCAGCTATATTCCAAGTTTTTGCATTAATGTTATAAACTGCAATACCTTTCCTGTTCATTCAGTCCCTACTCTTACAGAAACATAAAGCTGGGTTATGAAAAACAAAGACTTATTATTTTCCTAGGAAACAGTCCATAACTGGATTAGATTAGAAGGTTTAATTTTTTAAATTGTGTTTTCAGGACTTGAAGGGAACCAAGACTCATTTTCCAGCACCTACACAGCAGCTCAGGCATTTCAGTTCCATGGGATCCCATGCTCTTTTCTGTCCTCCATTGTTGTGGAGTAGAATAATTGTTAATTGTTTAAAGATGTGTTACTATTTTACCTTGCCTGACTAAGGCACCTGATTTGTCTAATAAAAAGTTGAATGGCCAATAGCTAGGCAAAGGTTGGCAGCTAGAGGGAAAAAGGGAGCCAGACAAATAGACAAGGACCAGCCAGCCGGGGCCAGACAGACAGACACAGAGGAAGCAGGAAAGCAGAATGGACAGTACTTAGATGAGGGCCACACATAGATTAATGGAAATGGGCTAATTTAAGTTGTGTGTGTGTGTGTTTAAGAGCTAGCTAAAAACAAGCCAATGCTAAGGCCAAGCACTTATAATTAATATGTCTCCATGTCATGATTTGGGGGATGGTGGTCTAAGAAAGCCTGCTATACTCCATGGCTCCTGCATACACCTGTGGTACACATAAAGGAAGCAGGCACACATATGCATACATATATACAATTCTTTTTAACTTCTCAAATTGTAATTTAGTTGCTGACCTGCATGTCCTTCTTAAAAATCATTGTCTTGACTTGAGATAAGACAAATTCCTGAAATGACCCTGCACATACTTCTATTTCATACTATGTGCTCATCCAAAGCAACAATCTCGGAATTGATGACTGTAAGGTTGATGGAACAGTTTTGTTTTGTTTGAGACAGTCTCTCTGTGTCAGTTCTCAACCTTCCTAATTCTTCAGCGCTTTAATACAGTTCCTCATGTTGTGGTGACCCCCAACCATAATGGTATTTTTGTTGATGTCTCATAGCTATAATTTTGCTACTGGTATGGATTGTAATGTAAACATCTGATGTGCAGGATATCTTATATGCAACCCATGTTGTTGGGTTGTTCGACCCCTAAAGGGATTGTGACACACAGGTTGAGAAGCACACTCTGTGTAGGCCTGGATCTCTCAGAATTTGATATGTAAACTTTGCAGGTCTCAAATTCAGAGACCTGCCTGTCCCTGTCTCCATAGTACTGGGATTAAAGGCATGCACCACGTGCCTAGAGACAGAACAGTTTTAAAGTAAGTGTATTTATGATTTGTTACTAGCAAACATTTGACACTTATATCTGTTGTAGATGCCTGTACACCCACATTCACAAAACAAAACAAACAAAACAGAAAACAACAAAAAAACTTTCTCAGGCAGAAAGGGGTCAGAGTTGGAAAGAAGCTTAGGAAACTCTAATGTAGACAAAATGATGTGACTTCCAGAGATGGCTCCTAACCCCAGAACCTGTGAGAATGTTCCCTTAAATGGCAGAGGTGATTTGTGGATATGACTCAACTAAAGAACTCGATGATCTGGGTGCGTAGGAGGGATGGTCTCCTACCAGTTGGGAGGATAGAAGGAGGAGCCATGAGCCTAGAGTCTACAGGATTCTCTAAAAGCTGAAGAGCAAAGAAGTGATACTGTCTTAAAGCCTCAGAATGACAGAGCCCAGAGGACACCATGGCTTTGGGACTCCCAACCTCCAGGGCTGTGAGTGAACAAACTTG